GCCACTCTCGCTCTCTCTCTACACACACAGACTGCGTTTTCTTTCTTTTTGTTGTTTCATTTGTTCTGGTCATCATCAGCATGGCAGGTGTGTAAATATGACTCACAAAACCTATTCAATGCATCATCTTTAAAAAAAAAAAAAATGTTAGGATAAATATGCTTATTTCTGGCCGCTTATATTCAGAGGGAATGGAATGGAGAAAATGAGATTTGAAACAGATAATGGCAAATACACACTGTTTCACAGATCATGTCAACATCCATTCACATTTCCATTTAAAAGGACCCTTGATAAAGGTTTCATAAAAACTCTTAACAATTAAACAAGGGAAGGAAGATATATTTATACTGTTATTCATATTATTATTACGACTGCCCTTCCCATAATTATTAACTGCCCTCTTGACCAAAAGTAAAAACATGCTAATAAACAGAATCCCATGTGTAGCCTACAACAATTTATCAATATAAGGGTTTAGATCAAATTTTCCACATGTGATGTAGGCCTATCTGCAATTTACAAATATGCCACACACACACACAAGCAACAAGGGATGGAATAGATGGAAAACTCTCTATCGCTGCTGATATGATTTATGCGTTTTTTTATTGCCTAAGTTTCAGACCTCGATGGGATCAATGATCTACATCTGGCTGTATGGCTTGTGCATGATTTAAGTATACTGTATGCTGGCTTGTTCGGTTTTGAACAGATATTTGCATATACCAGTCTATAACACCTCCCGAGCTTTAACCATAATAGGTGATTGATAATGGGTTATCCAAGCTGTCAGTTCGGTTTACTACTTTTGGCAAGAAAGCCAGAGAATATAATGTTTTGTCGAAAGAGCTCAAATGTCACCCCTAACCACAAAGCAATTAACCCCTCTGTCATGCACTTTCGCCACCTGTGCATATCAGGCGTAGATTTCAAATAGTCATATTGGTTGCGCTGGAAAATTACAAAACAAAAAAATTACGAAACAAAGCTCGCTGCTATTTATTGAAATGTTCACATTATAGCAATGCAATGCAGTTAAAGCTCTCGTTGGATGTGCCGGATCCCTCTCTATTCACTAACGATGGCTGCGAGAATCCAAGATGAACAGGTTCAGTCATTCCGCAGAGCGCGATCAGACGAGAGTGCACGAGCTCAATCTAGTAGGCTACCAGATGGTAAATAGAAAATCCTCAAGCGACACGTCAGTTCAATAGCACAACCAATCAAACATCCAAACGCCTGTGGACATTGGCAAAATATTGAAAGCAAAATGAAAGTGCTTTCAATTTGAACTCTGTAATTTGTATTGCTCTTTCTTTTCTTTTAAGACGCTATCCGTTTAAAAACGCTTTATGAAAATCATGCCGACAAACCACTCTAATTTATTAAAGGCATTTTATATGATCAATTTAAAGTAATTAGCTTGTTATTATTTTACATGCAAATAAATTGTACATTATGTCTGCTTTAATATCCTATATTTAGTCTTATTTTAGTGAGACCATAGCCCACATTGTGACTTTGATTTTAAACTAATTAATAACTTACTAATAATAGCCTACAGGCATACTAAATTTACATGACGCAGTTATCATCCAAAATGAGTGATTCATAAACCACTCTTCAATGTAATGGTAAAATTAAAAACTGAATAAAACTGGAGTCATTTTATCTTTCTTGTTAAGTGTTAATGACGAAGAGTTTTATGGCGGTTATGGTTAAAACCCTCATTATCATACAGCTGAATTGTTATCTCACCCCATCTCAGCCAGAGGCCCGTTTATGAAAGCAACACGAAACGCGCTTCTAACGAGGGGCACGCGACACAACAATAACGGCACGCTATAGGCTGAAAGAGCTCAGCAGCGCGTGCACCACATGTATCAAATTAAATGTGGAAATTTTATTCATTATGATTGTTTTAATTAAAGCTTATTTAGGCATTGTTTGGAGTGATCTTTTGATTGTTTTAAAAATAAAATATTGTGCATAAAACTGTTAAAAAAAATAATTAGCTAGTTATTTCATAATCTAATAGGAGTGCTTTCGGGGTCACTTTAACGCAGTGCTTTCATATTATAGGCTACTAGCTCGAAACACGAAGAGGCTCTACGCCGGAACATCAGGTATAAGGTAGGCAATATGACCCTACACCAGTGGCGGATCTAGAAAATTTTACATGGGGGGGCAAAGGGGTGGCAAGAGGTCTTGGCAGGGTGGCAGGGGTAGACGGTATGGCAATCCCTATATGTGAATTGCTTTAACAAAACAAACATAAAAACACTTTTATAGTATATTAGATATTGTTTAATCGTGTCCTTACACACTACAAAGGTTTTAAATTCACAACAGGAATAAGCCCAGTGCAGTGTTCAAACAAAATTGTGCATTTAAAAAAAAGTAAAAGTATAAAAAGCTAAATGAAAATTTATTTTAAAAAGTACAATATTTGTGTCCAAGATGCAGAGGACAGGTATAAAACAGCAGACAATACTCCAGCTCTTATTATAATTAAAAAGGTATAATTACAGTCCACAAATGACCCTCCTGGTCTCTCCAGTTTACTGCCTTTCTTTTCCCAAAAGTCAATATATGAAATCTCTGGTTATCCTTACATTACACTGTAGGGCCATGTAGCTACTAAGTAGCTTACAACAAATATAAAATCAGAATTAGGCCTCAAAAGTACGATTCATCTTGGAGAAGAATAATAATAATAAACAGAGCAATTCCAAGAGGGTCCTCTCTCACCATCGGTGCTCGGGCCCTAAAGATTTATCACATGCACACACCAGTTACTGTATGTTTAGACTACTTAATCCTATTGTATTTGTTATTTCCCCAGTTATAACCTGGTTTCATTGATTGATATCTGAGAGGAATTGGATTTATAGAACTGCTTAACTGAGGTCAGGTACCATTTTTTTTATTATTATTTATGGTTAATGCATTGTTTCAAAAGAGCCTCAGTAAAAGATATACACTACTGGTCAAAAGTTTTAGATCAGTAAGATTTTTTTATGTTTTTAAATGAAGTTTCTTCTGCTCACCAAGGCTGCTTTATTTGATGAAAAAAATGACAAAGTAATATTGTGAAATATTATGACAATTTAAAATATCTGTTTTCTATTTTAATATATTTTAAAATGTAATTTGAAAGTTGAATTTTTAACATCATTACTGTTGCTGATTACACATCAGTTTTCAGGGTCACATGATCCTTCAGAAATCATTCTAATATGCTGATTTTATGCTCAAGAAAAAGCATTTTCTAATTTCTTTCCCCCAAAAATAAAAAACAAATTCTTACTGACCCCAAACTTTTGAATGGTAGAGATTAATGTTACAAAAGCTTTCCATTTCAGATCAATTCTGTTCTTTTGAACTTTCTATTCATCAAAGAATCCTGAAATAAAAATGTAAAAAACTGTTTTCAACATGGATAATAATCATAAATGTTTCTTGAGCATCATATTATAATAATTTCTGTAGGATCATGTAGACTGATGCTGTAAATTCAGCTTTGAACACAAGAATAAATTACACTTCACTATATATTCACATAGAAAACTGCTGTTTTAAATTGTAATAATATTTTTCACAATATTACTGTTTTTTTTTTGTATTTTTTATCAAATAATTGCAGCCTTGGTGAGCCCTAGAGACTTCTTTTAAAAACATAAAAAATCTTAGTAGTGTATATAATAATATTATTAAAGACATGCTTTTTTCAATGAAATTTCAACAGTATTAGGCTAATTATTACGTCCATAGACAACTAAAAACAAACAAATATTTAGCAAACAATGTTTCAATGTTAATTGTGAAGGGCTTTCTCAATGAGGTGAGTTATCAACTGAGCATAGTTTCTCATACTTACAGTAGCCTACTTACAGTTACACAGTAGCTACTTCTACTGTGTTTACGTGAATACTCGACTTGGCATTTTGATATATTTATGTATTCATTTGGCCATTCAGGCGCGCGACCGAAAAGCGAATCAAATAATCGTTCTCCTAACTGGCGATGTGTGTTGTAACGTAACAGCGGAGATCATCAGTTAACGTTATGGATACAAACAATATTTTATATTTTATTAAGCTGTTCTTGTCTTTACTAAAATCGAAATTAGATAATCAAAGGGAAGAGTGCTCTTAAAGATCACGAGGGAGCGATTTGACCGATGATTTTGGCTAATGTAATAGACTGTTTTGCTGATCCTGAATCGTCTTTAGCATACAATACATTCATTACAAATGTAACTAAGTTAAACGTGTGTTTAAACTACACCTGGGGAAACTCACTTCACCTTCAGAGGCTCTGGGGCAGCTCAGTCTCTCCAGTCGGGTTGCAGGGCCACTCCACCGCCCCACGGCAGACTCGCTGTGTGTGTGAGTGCGTGAGAGAGCCAGACTGAGCGAACGCCGCTCTGCTGCACGTTGAATCAGGAGGAGGGGCTAATAATAATAGGCTACATTTAAAATGACAAAATTAAATTGTTCACTTTTGGTAAATGTATTGTTTATTTCACTATTTTGAGAAGCGTGTGGAGTGGCAGGTTATTTTTACAAGTACATTTTTTGGATCATCAAAGTTAGGGGGGCAGCTGGGGGGCAAGGCTCTAGAGTGGGGGGGCACCTGCCCCCCCTTGCCCCCCTGTAGAACCGCCCCTGCCCTACACTGACCGTGCACGCTTTCAATGATGTAATATAATTACCCGCGCAATTGACTGGAACGGGGACAAACGAGAAGTAACTGTAGGCTGTAGCCTACGTAGTGCAAAGTTTCCTCCGTTTTCGATAGGGGAAATTGCACGGTGTGAAATTGTCAGTGTTTAATCGTGCCTGGCTGCTTTAAATATGCCAACAGATGCTGTGCTTGTTAATAATCACTCGCGCTCAATTGGTCATCATCCGCGTAGTGGTGGGTATTAAATGTGGATATCATTGTTGTCGAGAGAGGGGGGCTGAGTAGATAAAGTGGGCGGCGTTTAGTGATAGACAGTTTATATAATGAGCAGCGCGGACACAAAGCCAGTATAAATACTCCGGGACGCAAGAAACAAGTCTTCATTCACGAATTACACGAGAAGCGCGAGGATACCCAACAGCGCAATGCTGACGCACAAAGTTTAGAACCAAAACAAGACATTACCATTGACATTAAACACATCGGTGTGCTCACTGTGGAATATTAAACATGCTCCGTGGATATCTTGAGCCGAAGGGGAATAAGACTGGATGCTGATTTGCCAGTTTCACCTTCACCTTTTGGATAACCTGGAAATTTGACGTGCTCCTGCACACTGAAGTGACGTGCATGTGGACGCGGAGCGGGATATACCTTTTTACTCTTCGGCATTTGTTTTCATTGCACCCTTTTTCATTGGAATAGGCTCTTTCGTGGAATATAATCGTGGGTGACGCGGCTGCCCAGGACAATCGAAAAGCATGGCAGCTTGGCTCACCTTTCTCATCGCATTTTTCACGACCGTTTTGACGCAGGTAAACAGACATAGTCGGTCCTGTGGAAAGTCAGTAGGACCCGTTTCTCTCAATTGTCTCTCAAGTTGCCTACAGAGAGCACTTTGTAGGTAAGCCAGTGTTTGCAGTGCAATGTTGTAATGCATGTCATTTTTCCCTTCAGATATTTGGATCTGGTGTTTTCGAACTCGACCTTCACGAATTCAAAAATTTCAAAGGCTTGCTCGCAAATGGCAATTTATGCAAGCCTGACTGCAGGACTTTCTTCAGAGTTTGCCTAAAAAACTACCAGGTGGTCGTGTCTCCAGGTGACTGTATCTTTGGAAGTGCCATAACGCCTGTGCTGGGGACAAACTCATTCAGTATCATGGGAGGTGGCTCTTTCAGCACACCAATTCGACTGCCGTTCAACTTTGGGTGGCCGGTAAGCTCAAATACAATTTATTTTGATTGTTTAATCCAAGGCAGAACGCATTACGTTTGTGTTTTTGTTCCAGTATTAATATAGCAACAATTTGTAATGCAGCCAGGTTCAACATATGTAGACTATTTCGATCCTCTCCAAATTAATCAGCAGTTTGATCATTTTGATTATGGTTAGCCTATTCGTTTATTTCTGCTTCTAACGTTTTAATAATGCATGCGGCTGTATTTATTTATAAACACCTGACTGCGTTTTACTTATCTTGTGTTGCAGTTATTAAAGGTTTCAATCTAAATCTCTATTTCCTCTTAGGGATCATTTTCATTGATTATTGAGGCCTGGCACTCACCTTACGCGGATCTACCTGTAGGTAAGATACGATTTTCCCCCCACTAGAGGGCGACACTAAACGATATTGTGCATATTTACAGAATCTTCTCCTTTCATTAGAACGTTATACATTTTTGTTTACAAAACATTAATCAAACCATGGCACGCTGCACCCAACTCTTAAGAAAAATATATTAATTTAAAAATTGCAAATCTGTAATGCTTTTTTTTTACCCTATTGCTTCAAACACCTTTGCATTCTCATGCTCGAACACAATTGAACTTCCTTTGGTTTATTTTTGGCGTGGGAAAGCGCAGTGGGCTTTGGTGAGAATACACAGCGCTTGCCAAAACCATCCGACTGCATTTTCCTGTATTTTACACCTTTGTCTGTCCCGCCCTTTAGAATAGGATAATACCATGGGAATATTTTTCTTAACTCAAAAGGAAGAGGAAATTTAAACATAAGTTGTACTCCGAATGTGTCAGCTTCCCAGAAGTTAAAATCAGTCTCTATTTTTTTTTTTTTTAATTCTTTTGAAGAGACTTTCAAAAAACACATAAGCAAATCATGGCATATTCTAACCTATTCTTAATTTAAAAAAAATAAAAAATAAAAGAAGAAATCAAATGAAGCAATGGCCTAATCAGAATCTTCTCTTCTTTACAGACACATACAACCCCGAATTACAGATAAGCTTTTTTGCCATCCAGAGAAAGTTGGAAGTAGGGGCTGAATGGTCTCAGGATGTTCAAAGCGGGAAGCAGATGGAGCTAAGGTATTCTTACCGGTTCATCTGCAATGAAAATTACTACGGCGACAGTTGTTCCAAAAAATGCACGCCCAGGGACGACCGTTTTGGCCACTACACCTGCAACCCAGATGGACAGTTATCCTGTCTCCCTGGCTGGAAGGGGGAGTACTGCGAAGAACGTAAGCAATATCAGAGATCACAATCCACTGGACTCTAGTCTTGAAGGACTGAGGGTTTGCTTAGGTGTGAGCTTTATGTCTTGCTCTGTTCGATCATGTCTCAGTGATGTTAACCATGCTGCCAGTGAACCTTAAAATAAGGCCTCACTGCACTGTGCAAATTACAATGACTTGGATGATGGATCTACTTTTTAGAAGGAATTTTTATAGGAAATGTCTTTTGCTGCTCACAGCACATGCAAACTCACTTTTAAACAAAACAAATAAAATGTGACAATTTGAAATGTGCAAATCAATAACTAACTTGAAAATGAAATTTAGTGTAAATGAATGTTTAAATTAGTAAAAATGCAATATATTAAACATGTCAGTGTTCCATCCGATGATGATGCTCCTCAAGTAGCGCACTGTTGCTATGGTTACCACTTAAGCGATACTGTTTGACAGCGTCCGCAAGGTGAAAATAGGCGGATATATATATATGTATATACATATATATATATATGTGTGTGTGTGTGTATATATATATATATATATATATATATATATATATATATATACACACACACACACACAACCTTATCTTGTTGGCAAAGATACGCAGCAGTTAATATAGACAGCGCGCAGAGATGGTTATATGGGTTTAATGAAAGCAAATATTTGACTGTATTCATTTGATTCTTGAATGTACGATTTCTCGGTGTGAACTGCTGTAGTTTCTCAGACCATTCCCGCTGTTGATCAGGGCGCTGACACAGTTTGTATATACTCTAAGCGCGGGTGCTTGGTAATTTAATCCTGCACGAGCGTCATGGCAAGCACGCGCCGGGTTAATCGCGCCATTATTATCCGCCACGCGCCACAAAATTGTAGTCCCCATTGTTGCTCTCCAGCGTAGCAGCTGCAAATATGGCTCACAGAGACTACAAACAACAATAGGGGCAGCTGTCCGTTATTGGGATAGAGCATCTGCTGCGGTCAGTGCTGGTCGGGTACCCGCTCAAAATCAATGTCATTGACCGCTCAACACAGGCAACAGTAAATTACTCGCATCCATAGCAGTGACTTTGTTGGACAGGTTCTGTACAATTGCGTGCAGTGAAAGATGTTAATTTGGACAAGGCCCATGCTTTATGCTTATAATAAAGAATCTTGGGAATAGATACCACTTTCAAACATTTTTGTACGTATAATTTAATTACATCTTATATTAGCTATATTATATCTTCAATGTAAATGTGAAGCTTAATCTTTAGTTGAAATGTTGTTGTTTTTTTTGTGCCACTATTGCCACTAGACGGAATTGCAAAAAAAAAAAAAAAAAAAAAAAAAAAAGATTTCCACTTCCCTTGTCTTTCATTGGTTGGGCAAACAAGTAGTGTTGCCCAAACCTGGCTAGGCCAACATTGTTATTTCAGAGATGTTCAAAGAAACAGAACGATATTTTGGTACACTTTTTGAAGAATCAACCTCTCAAAGGCTTACTTATTATCAGGAGGAATTATTTAACATGGAAAAAGAGACATTTCACTTTTAATAAGCCAACATAACTTTGATTAAACTTTGCAAAACTACTGTAAACCCATGTCTCTTTACTAACAAGAGCTTTTTTTTAATGCAGCGATCTGTCTGGAGGGGTGCAGTGAGGCGAATGGCAATTGCTCCAAACCTGGAGAGTGTGTGTAAGTATACATGGTGTGAAAGATCTCAATCACATTCAGATCTAATATTCCTCTTGTGCATACATTTATATAGCATTTGCCATGTTGTAGTTTTCTGACCCACATACAGGATACGTCTTAAAAAGCAACAGCTTTTGTCATTAAATGAGTTTTAGCAACTGCGGTTTGACGGAAAAATAACATGAATATTTAGTTTACTTTTGTTCTGTGTTTCTCATATAGTATGGTTATATTTGTGTATTGCAGGTGCAGAGAAGGATGGCAGGGTAAACTTTGTACGGAGTGTAGAAAATATCCAGCCTGTAAACACGGCACCTGTCAACAGCCATGGCAGTGCAACTGTAAAGAGGGCTGGGGTGGACTGTTCTGTGACCAAGGTAAGACTAAACCCTAAACAGTTACAATAGCTGACTGAATGTCTCACTCAGGGTCATAAGTAATAACTATAAGAACTCAAAGCACTTCAGTTCATTGCTAGTACTAGAACAAGTAGATCTGTGACTGAAACATGGAAAAATAAAATGTGATTGGGAAAAATATGACCCATTAACTGACATTTTCTTTTATTTCTTTCAAATCAGATTTGAATTTTTGCACACATCACAAGCCATGTGTGAACGGAGCCACATGTATGAATACAGGTCAGGGCAGTTACACCTGCACCTGTCGGCCTGGTTTCACCGGGGTCAATTGCGAGCTTGAGGTGCGAGAGTGTGACAGCAGCCCATGCAAGAACGGAGGTCTTTGCTCAGTGAGTCATTATTTTGTTGAAAAGCCCCAAACTATCATCTGGCTGACTCCATCTGAAAATATGAATTGCATTAAAACCACATGCATGAATTTAATGTTTTTTTGTTTTACTGTAATGTGCACCAATCTGGATTTGAAGACTCTTCACAACAGACTTTGATGATATTGAAATCACTAAAATATGAGAGTTAACCTTTGATATTTTATTATCTGGTCATCTCAGAACCATCATTAATGTGTCTGTAAAACCTCAGGCTTAATCAATGGGCATGTTATGACCTTATTCCTGCATCCTTTGAAAGGCCTCTTTCTTCACATCTAGAATTACATTACAAACATGAAACAATGCAAAAGAGTCCAAAAAAAAAATATCTCTGAAACATCTGCTTCCTTTCTCGCCCTATAGGATCTTGATAAAGGTTACATCTGCACCTGTCTGCCTGGCTTTGAGGGAGCTCACTGTGAACACAGTCTGCTCACCTGCGCAGACTCGCCGTGCTTTCATGGCGGCAGATGCCACGAGAAGGATAACGGGCGTAGCTATGCGTGTGACTGTCCCAGAGGCTACACTGGTCTCAACTGCGAAAGAAGAGTGGACAAATGCACGACTCTGCCGTGTGCCAATGGTACGCAAAAGTTTTCTTTTCTCTTATGTTAAATTCCTGCAGTGTGTTTTGGATCTAGAGATCCAGATGTGTGTGTGTATGCATGCATATGTGTTTATAATTAGTCACTTACACCTGTGCCTACGATCCACAGATGGCTTGTGTGTGGTCCTGGGGGGCGTTCGCATGTGCAGCTGTCGAGCGGGCTTCACTGGCCAGCGCTGTGAGATCAACATCAACGACTGCGCCAACAACCCCTGTGCTAATGGCGGCACGTGCTACGACCGCATCAACGACTACGTCTGCTCCTGCGCCCCGGGATACGAAGGCCGCAACTGCGACCGGCCCTCCAACGCCTGCTCGTCCAGACCCTGCCTCAACGGCGGCTCCTGCGTGGGCATCCCAGGGAACCCGCCTGCCTGCTTCTGCCCCAGCGGCTTCACCGGACCCCACTGCGAATACTACTCGGTCACCGCTCCCGTGAGCAAAGGAGAACCTCAAGACTCCTTCCAGTGGGCCGCGGTCTCTCTGGCCGTGGGTTTGGTGGCTCTCGTGGTTCTGCTCTGCATGGTGGTCATTGCCCTGCGCCACATTCACAGGCAGGCGTCTGGGGAAAGGACTCGAGGCGAGGCAATGAACAACATGTCTAAATCGCAAAGAGACAACTTGATCCCCACCTCACAGCTGAAGAACACTAATAAGCAGGTCAGCCTAGAGGTGGACTGCGCACCTGACAAATCGAATTACATACACAAGAACTGCCACTTGGACTACAATTCATCGAAAGAGTTCAAGGACATCGTATCCCAAGAGGACAAAAGTCATAAATACGAAAAGTGTTTAGAAGAGAAAATACCATTGAGTAGAATGTACAGGTAAGAAATGGATTTCACGTCACTCTGATAAATAGAGGTGTTTGGATGGATTGAATTTGCTTTATTATGCTGAGGTCATGCTCCATTAGCGTGCCGCCCAGTATATTAACCTTTGCACTTAGCACTCGCTTGATGACTGTAATATGAACATCAATACTGGCTAAGAGAAGTTAAACCCTGATATCCACAACCACAACTCACATTTACACACTCAAACTAAATTTTACACTTGGACCCTAAGGCATTGACAGCAAGAAGAAGCCTCTTTACCCTGTTAAACGATTTTTATTGATTTGGACGGGACAACAAAAGCGCTTTTCCCTCTTACAAGGATTTTCTTACATCAGCCTCTGTAAACGGAGGAAAGGAACAAAACGCTATAAAGCGAAAAAAAAACGAGCCCCCATCTCTGCGCAATAAATAGCTGCCCCATGTGCTTTTACTTTGTGTTAACATGAAGCGTGATTTGTGTGTGCAGGGAAAAGCCAGAGTGTAGGATATCAACGATATGTTCCCCAAGGGACTCCATGTACCAGTCTGTGTTTGTAATAGCAGAGGAGAGGAGTGAATGTGTCATAGCAACTGAGGTAAGGAGGATCCGTTCATTTCTTAATATGTCTGCATGTTGTTCAAGCAGGGATCTGCTTGCCATGTTCACCATTTTATCATTCTGTCAGTGTCTACTAATGAAGTCTACTAAACAGAGGCTCACTTCATGATGAAAGAAAAGTGATAAATGTGTCATTTAGGCCACTCAAATTTGAAATCGAATTCTACTGTATGCCATTGAAGTTATTATGGTACATAATCTAAGCCTCTGTTTTGTTTTTGTTCTTTCTACAGGTATAAATTACAGGCTGATGTCTATGAAGAGAGGAGACAAAAACACAATCAAACTAAAATCTTTTCTGGATTGTTTACAAAAATCTTAAGAGACTGGAGATTTATATCGACATCCACTGCTGCACTGAGAAACTTGAGAAACTGGAGAGAGCAGAGTCCTGCTCATCGAATGCAATAGTTTAGTTTTATGTTGAAGAAGTGTTTATGTACAAACGTGTACAGTCCTGGATGATTTCTGAACTCTTCTGCTACGGTATGGTTTTTTTTTTTTCCCCCGTGGGCTGAAAGGAAAAGGGACTTAAAAAAAAAAAAATGTTTAAAAGATCCTTTTGCGGTAATCATGGACACATTGTCCGCCAAGTAATCAAAGGAAGGTGCCAGGGACTTCCAAAACCTTCAACCAGCATTGCCAGCTATGCAAGAATGAGGAGGGGAGCACCAATCAGAGCTTACCCATACAAATCAATGATGAGCATTATGAATGTCTGAGAAGAAAAAAAAACTGCTTACATCAATCATATAAAAAGACTTTTTGCTCTCCTCTCTACAATAAGCAGCTGAAAATTCACGAAAAAGCCTTAAAAGAATTAAATCGAGTGCTATGTTTGTGCCCAGGGTCTTCTTGGATTGTTTTTGAGATTTTGATCAACATGGGGGGGAAAAAAGAAGAGAAGAAAAATAACCTACAGAAATGTAATACGCAAAACTGTGCCAGCAAGATCCAAGAAGTTCTCTTGACTTCTTTTATGCAACATAGACCATGAGTACAAGACAAAAAAATGGACAAAAACAAAGCAACTGCTCACCACTGACTGCCTATAATTAGTTTTGAGAATACAGAACCAATAATGTAATTTTTTTAAAAAGTGATTATTTCCAGATTTAATTTAATAATGAAACACTGCTCTTTATATGTTTTATACTATTATTTTGTATATAATGCATATTTATAAGAAACCAAACATCTGAAGAATAAAAAGTTAATTCTTTCAAGCTATTTTTTTTGCGCTTTTTTTCTTCCACATATAGCCTACATTCACACTTACATGTTTCTTATAATGGTGAGTGGAAAGGGAATGGAAATGTTACTCTCTCTTATAAAGCTTTACAAATGTACCGTCTTTTACATCTCTGTGAAGTATTTTTTTCTCAGTCCTGAAAAAAAAGAAAGAAAATTCAACCCCCTCCTTCCACTTCCCCAGTTGTAAATTGGCTTGAAATTTAAATCCGTTGCCTCGGATACAGGCCCCTTGAGCTGGAAATTCTGAAACAAAGACAGGCGAAGAGCGCAAACGACAGAGGAGCGGCCCCTCCTCAGAAAACCGAAACAGATGCCCCAGGGTGCAACCTTGCCCTGCCATAAAAACAGCGGCATATGCCGCCCCTCTCACCAGGTTCATCGTGGCGCTGCTCAGCAGAGCACCCATAAACAAAACACACACACTTATCTACAGACACAAACGAGTTCCAGCTCTGAGGGCCTCAGCCTCGCCTTCGGGCTGGAGGAGACATCTCCATCCCCAACAAAAGAATCAGTCGGAGCCATGCACGTGGCCTTGGCGCCCACAGATGGGTTTCAGTGGCATAATGCGCCCCAAACACCGAGAGAATCGAGAGAATTATTCCGAAATAACTGTATCGGCTCTACAGGATCACCTAAAGGGTGCAAAGGTCATCTGTAAGACTTGATTGGGAATTTAAATAAGTGACAAGCATCATTAAAAACAAAGCAATTTGTACTAGCATTCGATGTTCAGCTCTGAGATTCATCCTTCCCATCAGTTCTTCCTAAATAATTCACCACTCTGGCCAAAGTCAATATTACGAGACCCCATGCAAGGCACCAGAGGGCCATGCAGGAGATTCGTTTTTAGTACTTAAACAGAAATGGTTGTCCAGGAGGCCAAGCTCGGGTTTCTTTCCATTCCTAGCAGCAACATAATCAACAAACAACAAATCTATGCCACGCAAACACACCCCACACACACATCCTGTTCATCCATGTCATCTAAGCATCCTTGTCTTTGCGTCTGTGCTTGGGTCAAACGGACGCTTAGGAAGAATAAACACATTTCGGAAAGGTTTCTGAGAGAATTTCCGTCAGCAGCAGGAGCATTAAACACTTGTTATCGCAGCAATTAGTCTTGAACCGAAACTTTCGCAACGCAACCTGTTACTCGAACCCCTCCTGCCACAACTGCAAGTGTGTGTGTGCGCATTGCTCTCTGGCCTCTGGGTCTAAATCGCATGGCCAGGCATTCTCATTGTGTTATAATCACTGCATCCTGTTTGTGACCCAGTGACATCATTTCCTTTTTCCTGTCTGATTAAAAAATGCAGAACATGCCGGCACTGGCCAAACGCTTTTCTCACGCATTCTCCATTCTTGTATTTTCTGTACGGATCCCCAAAGTTTCAGGAAACAAGCTCATAACAAACGAAAGGGGAGGGGTGACATCAAATCAAGAGTATTTTGAAATCTGCACTGCGGAATTCGAAAACATAGTCGAGCATGCGAAATATTCATGAGATTTTGACACCGACAGCCATATGCAGTCAGAAGAGGAAAATGTGTCACACATCAATCCATTCCTAAAAGGATGCTAAAATGCAAAACCAAAATGTAAAATATAAAACACATGATGTGCAAAAAACAGCATCATGAGCCAGACCCCCAGTAAACCCAAAGGCCCTCCATCTGCAATTTTCTTCACTAACACTAGATGTCGCTAAAATGCCTGTGCGGTTCGTTTATCCACTTAACTGTCACCGTCCCACAGGTGGGACGTTTGCCACTATATTTTTAAAACAATGATATCTTAGTAAATACCTTAAATAATATTGACAAACTATATATCATTTGAAAGCTTACAATCTCTAGTTTCCATATTTGGTGACTGATTTTCAAAATATATTACAGAGGAGCCATAATTTATCAATATAAAACAAGAATATTTTCATACTCATAAGGCGTGTTCAGACCTTTATTAAAAATAGCAGTAAACATGAAAAATCATGAAAAAATGGTAGATACCTCAGTTTGTTTTCATGCCAAAAGTTCAAAAGATAGAATCCATTCAATTATTTTGGAAAAAAAAGGTCTGAAAAGTTTGAAATATCAAGAAAAAAATAATAAATTCACCATTTGTGACGTGGCAGCTAGCTATGACTTACATGCGTGGTCTTTGTATGCGTTTCTTAGAGGTTCAATTCATATCAAAATCTGCCAAACTTCCCATACTACTTCTGAATAGGATCTCTACTTCAAAAATTGTATGAAAATTGTGAAAATAATGGTTCATATCACTGAAAACACGAATGGAAATGCAGGCGCCCTTATATGGGCAGTAATGGAGTCTGATTGTGCCCTAGTGAAAAAGTTTGGTACTGCGCTCAAACAAAATCTTACTGAAAGCTCATTTTTTGAGATATCAACCTAAAATTTGAAACACAACTTGTTCAGATTTTTGGCTTTGATTTTTCTGCCATTTTAGAGTAGCCCAGGTTTTGAAAATATATATTTTATGTAAAATATGAATAATTAATATTTTTGCATTGTACATTTCCATAAACTCAAACCTCTATAACTTTTTTTCTGTTTCACTTTCTTAATTTATTTCACTTCTACAAAAATCTGCCAAATGTCTTCTTTAAAACAAGACCAATCATATGTCTATATTCCAAATCATTCTTGAATTACAACCATTTAAGTTCGAAATGTGCATTTTCATGTCTATTCAAAAAAGGGGGGGTGACAGTTAACAGGATATACATGATACTGTACATATAGCCTACATGATTCGTATAACATGATAAAAAATGTCTAAAAAATACATTTGGAGCCTGTCTGTCCTTGAATTTTTCTTTTATAGGATGCATTTCGTGACATTTTAAATTCTTTAACCATGCAACAAACATAACTATTGAGTATTTACAAGGTCAAGCAGTTATCGAGTGATTTGCATGTAGCCTATTAATGGGATAGTTCACCCAAAAATGATAGTTCACCTCTCCTTCATGTCATTCTAAAACTGACTTTATTTCTTTTATGCAACATATAAGAATATATTCTGAAGATTTGTTTTGACCAAACAATGAAAGTCAATGGAGTCCACTGTTGTTTTAGACTTCATTCACCTTCACTGTATGGACAAAGTTAGTTGGAACATTCTTCAAAATATCTTTGAATACAAATATATATTTAAAAAATATATATATCTTATCATGGGTTCCACAGAATTAAAAAACAAGACTGTAGTAGGCCTACATGATGACAGAATTTCCACTTTTGGTAATACATGTATATAAAAAAAATAATTTAACATTTTGAAGTATAATTTTACTTTTTGAAGTAAATAAATTCAAAAATATCCCCCAAATAAAAAAAACACCATAAATGGATAGACAAAACTTTATCGAAGACAGTGATTTAACATTTATATTAAATAAAAATTAGGATCACACCTGAGTCCGCTGTGCCCACATTTGTCCACAATTACAGGATTAAGGGCTATAAAGTGAATAAGGTTTGAGGGCTACGAAAAAAAGAGGAAAGAGGTTAAATAACAAAGAAGTTGTGATCACAATAAATGTATAATTACCAACAGTCTCATCTATCAATGAGCCAAAGTAATATATATATATATATACCATCATTTAGTGCATCTGAAATTATATGAAGAAACAGAAAAAACAGAGACTAAGACCAGGAGAACTGCTGCAACATCTCGAAGGTAGTGCCTGCCTGCCTGCAAAGCTACAGTACAGTGAAAAAAGCGTGTAAAACGTAAATGTGTAAAATGCTGTAAATGATAATGTTTTCAAAAATAATGTCATAATCATAAATAGATTTTATTTATCAATTCACTTTTATTAGTTAAATATTGTTAACTGTTATTTACTTTTAACAGTTAACTAAATCAAATTAATAGGTTAATCCACGTAGCATTTATGCCATTATAAATATCTCAATATCTCAGGTCTGGAAGGGTCTAGAGTCTCCATTTTTGCACTCAGGTCTAAGTCCCGTGGCCATCTATCGGAATCCAGCGTTTCAAGAAGATTGGAGGAACTTATTTTTTCGCACCAAAAAAAAAAACAACAGGGGTACCACTGTCGTTTTTTGGGGGGGGTCGAAATTTTTAGTTTCTCTGATCTTCTCGAAACTCTGGATTCTGATAGAGGGCCATGAGACTTAGACCTGAGTGCAACAATGGAGGCTGTAGACCCTTCCAGAGCTGAGATATCGAAACTCAAAATTTCGACCAGAAAAAAAAACGACAGTGTTACCCCTTAAGTTTTTTGGGGGGGGCGAAAAATTAAGTATCCCCAATCTTCTCAAAACTCTGGATTCTGGTAGAGGGCCATGAGACTTAGACCTGAGTGCAACAATGGAGGCTGTAGACCCTTCCAGAGCTGAGATATCGAAACTCAAAATTTCGACCAGAAAAAAAAAACGACAGTGTTACCCCTTACGTTTTTTTTGGGGGGGCGAAAAATTAAGTATCCCCAATCTTCTCAAAACTCTGGATTCTGGTAGAGGGCCATGAGACTTAGACCTGAGTGCAACAATGGAGGCTCTTGACCCTTCCAGAGCTGAGATATCGAAACTCAAAATTTCGACCAGAAAAAAAAAAACGACAGTGTTACCCCTTAAGTTTTTTTGGGGGGGGGCGAAAAATTAAGCATCCCCAATCTTCTCAAAACTCTGGATTCTGATAGAGGGCCATGAGACTTAGACCTGAGTGCAACAATGGAGGCTTCTAGACCCTTCCAGAGCTGAGATATCGAAAATCAAAATTTCGACCAGAAAAAAAAAACGACAGTGTTACCCCTTACGTTTTTTTTTTTTGGGCGAAAAATTAAGTTTCCCCAATCTTCTCAAAACTCTGGATTCTGATAGAGGGCCATGAGACTTAGACCTGAGTGCAACAATGGAGGCTGTAGACCCTTCCAGAGCTGAGATATCGAAACTCAAAATTTCGATCAGAAAAAAAA